CTCTTACCTGTATCCTTTGGAAAAGTAAAAACATTAAATACAACTGTTTAGCACATTAATCTTTCTATAAAATTCTTCAGTGGTAAATTAAACTCTAGATAAAGCTACTATTTTATATGTTTTCAAACACTTTATTATTATATATCTCTTAGTAAAAATCCCCCAATAAAAACAATGTTAATGAAACTGTAACTATAACACTGATTTGTCATGATTTATTTACAAATAAAGATACTTGTAAACAATAAACGTATCTTGAAAATTGCCTAAATCTACAGAAACCGACCTACTGTGTTTTTTAAAAAATATTTTAACCTTTGCTTTATTTTGTAGTCCTTAATTAAGATGTCTTCAAGTTAATTAACTTTAAGTCTAATAATTTACTGTTGGGATCCTATGATTATAAGCCTTAAGTATTACTGTCAACTCCTTATGCAAAGAGAACAGCTGGACAAAGTTATTAAATTCTCTATCTACAAACATTACCAGTTTGCCCAAAATAAATATGTTTAGTCATTTTAAGGATAAAATGCTGGGATAATTGGGAATTTGCATGGCAAGTATAAGACTTAAATGTGGAGGATATATGACAAAATGTCCTGTTTCTATGAATTGTACAAAATCATATTTATCCAAAAAGTATATACTACAAACCAGTAGTGTAAATATATAGATAGATATTTACACTATGAAGTGCACTGTGTATAAATTGTTTAGCATATGTCTTTATAACTCCATGTTTTTCAGATAAGAAAAAAAAGTCAGCTTCCATGACTGTGGGTCTAATCCTGATTCCAAATGAAGTCAAGAGTCTTTCCATGGACTTAATTTAGACACTGCCTTAGCAAAATGGACTTTGAAGTCTCAAAGTAAGCTACCTCAAATACATGTGAATGTGTGTGGAGATGTGTGTGTATATATGAATATGCAGATACATATATAAACACACACATACTTATCATTAAGAAGCCTTACAGGGTTAGCAAGCAGTACAAGTGAGAAGACTCTTGCCATCTGGACAAGTCTTAACTTATATTTATTATACATCATCAAATACACTTACGTAGATACTTGTCGTTACAGTTAATATGCAAAAAAAAGAACATTTTTTCTTCTGATCAAAGATGCAACAATCAAGTCATAAAACACAAAACCAATAGCCAATCAATGTGAATAAGTCTGCCTTTGGGCTTAATTCAAGCAAGCCATTCACTGAGCTAATGTGATGGATCTGTCAAATCCAATACAGCATTACAGACATACTAGCAACATCAAGTGAACATGCAATGACAAAATGACGATACGCCCCACTGCCATGCTTTGACTGGTTGTACTTCATGAAGATAAAATTTGATAGCTTTGCCAGTTTTCTTTAAGTCAAACTTAAATGTAAGTCTCTGCCAATATCTATATTTAAGTACTTATTAGAAGTCAAGTAAAAGCTGTGCTTAAATTTAACTGATATCTGGTTTAATTTAGTTTGTCCACCATTAAAAATGTTTTCCTCCAAACAATCTCTCAGTTATAACAGCTTATTAGAGTACAAAGCTCCAAAGTGGTACAAAACATGTATAGACCAAAACGCCATGTGGCCCCTACTCAGTTGGTAGGCAGGGGAATTTATGAAGAATTTTTTTAACATTTTGAACATAATAAATTTGTAAGTTTTGATCAAAATCCTCAAAAGGCTGAAAGTTTTAACTTTAATTTTAAAAGGTGAGAGATTTCATACAGTACGTAACTCTGCTTCCTTACTGAAGATGTAACATAATTTTTTACTATATTGTTTCATAAATAAAGTAAGGTTTTTTGTTGGTTTTCTTTTTTTAGCTCTGAACACCTGAGAAATATGTAAAAGCCCTACTTCAATTTTTTACGTGTGTGTGCATATATATAGATATATTCTCTTCTGTTAGCAGCTACTTAAATGAATTTTTACAAGTTTCATCTCTTTGCCACCTTAGTTTTCTCATCCACGTTAGCTGTTCATTGCCTGTGTCCAGCAATATTTCCAACTGTGACAAACAAGGATACCATTATATTGCTTCACAATGGACTTTTACAGCTCCAGTCATTGTCCATTGACATGGTGTACAGAGTCTAGAGTCCCAAATCTTCCTGTTAACCTCCCCTTTTTAAATGAACAAAATATGTATTCAATCCAGTTATTCCTTCCAACTCCTCCTCACTTCAGACACCATGTCAAATGTGGAACCTTGCCATTTAGCATGCGTATGATCTGTGACTCAAACAGTAAGTGCTTTTTTTAAAGTGGTCTTTTCATGATACATCACAGCATCACAATATATGCTTGGTGGGCCTTCATTATACTTTCCCAGGCATTGTATTAATGTATACAATAAGTAAATCTAGCTAAGAATAAAATTAAATAGGGACTCATTATCCAGTATGAAAAAGGAGCATGGTGTGACCAAATATGGAATACTTGTATGTAACAAAGGACAAGAAGTAATGATTTTATTGGGAAGAAAAGATACACATAGTTGTCCTGAGCTTTATTTCAGCACTTACAGTATAACTGGGGAGTAAGGAAGAACCTAATTTTCTGACATACAAAACTCACATTCTTTCCTTTCATGAAAATTCAGTGAAAACTGGAATGAGTAAACCAATTTGTAATTGCATGTAATTTCAGGTATCCATGTTTGCATATAGTTTCATATATGCAAATAAATGTGTTGCCTGGTTTAGTTATTGAAAGCAGTTTTAGGATTCCCCCATAGAGAAAGCAATTAAAATTATATCTTTGTAATTAACCCAAGACACCTTATTCAACAGGGGGAGGTAAACCCATTTAAACTGAGAAACTAAATAAAAAATAAAAGAAATAAATCCATTTAAGATGCCTATAGTGATTCAGCAAGCTCAGTTTATTGCAATTATAATTATACACAAACAGTGTACTGGAAAATTTATCATACTAGAAATATATTTCATTAAATAATTAAGGGTTGTAACTACTGCATTGCTAATGATACCATCTCTGTCTTCTTTTACAAAATTTAAGCATACTATAACTTTTCTTTTATCAAATTCTTTTCCCTTCCCTTTTATCAGAACATTTATTAGTGAGGTTGACTCTCTGAAACAAATGTCAATACAACAGTATAGATAAAACCCTGATATTTTACCTTATAGCATCTGATTTGTCTGTTTTATAATTAGATACATTATTTGATAGCTAAAGCATTTAGGCTTCATCTTGATATTGTTCAGCATCTCTAAGTACTACGTTAGTCTATATCTACAGCTTCTTGTTATGGCAATGATCACAGAGAGAACTGAACGATATCTGGCAAAAAATGACTAACCATATAAAGTTGTTTATGATTTCGCCCTTTTGGTTTTATTAACTTTTTGAATCAGGAACTGGGTTTGCATTATAAGCTCACAGAAAAATACTATAGCTGCAACATGCTAACAACACACCTTTGTGGAAATGAAATGAAAACTACGGAGTAGCACTCCACACAGTAGGTTACCCTAAGTAGAAAGAGTACATCGCGAACAAGGCGCAAACAGCAGTATCTGATTTATATTACTGACTCCAAATTAATAGAAAGTAACTTGCTTACCTTTCTGACACAGCATGCCTCAGCCACACATGCAAATAGTTTTTATTCACAAAACTTTTAAAAATATATCTTCATTATAAGCACTTGTAAGGCAACTATGCATGCATAGCATTTTAACATTCACACCATGTTCCATGTTTCTAAGAAAATTGAATCCATGAACAGCACTTTAAAGAATCATTTACTAGAATTTCTTATTCTGTAGATTTCTTTAACAAACAGAAACATAAGAAAATCAATATTAACATCTACTCTGGTACCTAATTTCAGTGTCAATTCATACTCAGAGGGCAAGAAAATCTGCACCTGATTTAAAGCAGAGATTTTCTCATGTCATGAGTAAAGAAGTGGGCCCTTACTTCCTACTGCCACTGTGAAGCAAAATACACATACAGATCTTTTGCATAGTACATACCCACTTCTGGTATACACCATAAGCCCTTCAAAAATATGAAAAGTATTAATTGACACCAAATGTTGTCGTATATTTTTAAGAAGGAATTTTTCAATGAAGAGCATTCCTCTTTTTCACTACAAAATTAGGCGAACATTCTGCAAAGACTCAAAAGTGTGCTTCATTTTATGCTATTTGTGTGAATGAGTCTCTAGTGAAGTCTACAGGAATTTTGCCATTGACTTTAATGGGGTCAGAATTTAATGGGACCAGGATCACAGGAAAGTAGGGCTAGAAGGGATTTCATGCAGTCATCTAGTAATTTCCATGGTCTTCAATATGATTACTCAGTGTGTATAAAATTAAGCACACATGTAAGTCTTTGCAGGATTCAAAAAATACAGATTTAAGGATTTATTTTCCTTTCCCAGTTTGCATTTACTCATCTTTCATTAATTTTATCCATTCTTGGGGTATAAAAAAGAGGGACAAAAAGAGTGATTTTGCTTTTATTTTCTGATTAAATAAATTAAATACTTGGGGGAAAAAGGCAATTGGGAGAATTGTCTTTGACTTTGATGATCCTGTCCTATTAGGATACATTTTACTCTCAACTTCCACTGACTTCAACAGGACTCAAAGAAACATGAGGGTACTCAAATTCTGCTTATGAACTTAAATAATATGGTTAAGATAATATGATGATCTTAAATAGCTGATCATCATAAAGCTGTACATTATTTATCTACATTATATGAGGGTCACAGGCCATCTACTCATAGTAGAGTAGCTGATGTACAGCTTGGGAATGTGTCTGTCATGCCTGATTCTTAATTAAGCACTAATCTCTCCATTTATGGCTCTTCATGGATTATAACAGCCTAGCTTTAGATACCATAGTCATCTGCAAAGCAACAAACCACTTATGAGATTTAAACAAGGCAAATCCACAGGAATCATCTTCAACTTGCTGTATGTTACGCATTTATTAGCTGTAAAGTAAGTCTTACCTGTCACTGTAGGCAGCTGCAGTGGCAGTGGCAGGCTGGGCATACCGGTAGGCAGCATAACCACCCTGAAACACAAACTTACATTCTAATTGGATTGCTACAGGAAGCAATCTAATATATTCCAAAAATTAGCAATCAGTTGCAATGTTATTTTCATGCTAAAAGTCCAATTAAAGGTTAAACTATAAATTAAAACTTTCACTAGATTCTTTCACAAAGTTCATCAGAAAAAGTTATCAGTTCCTGCTTAACATTTCATTTGACGATCATGATAAATCAGTAAAAATCATTTATCAAACATATTTTTATGAATGAAGCACACTTATATTTTTCTTTATGCTTTCAGTTATTAACTCCTATAAATGAGATGGTGAGTAGCATAATAAAGCCACATTCCCATTTTTAAAAAAAACAAAACAAATTACTTGGGTAACAACAATTTCATTTTAAAAAGGATAACGTGATACCTTGTGATTAAACCAATGAATTTGTATGCTGCATTAAAAATCTAATGTTAGATAGGTTTCTAATTTGTAAATAAGATCATAATGAAAAAGGAGTATTTTTGCTTTCCCCTGAATTAACATTCAGTTGCATGTAACAGTAATTGCAGCTGTTCAATTAAGCAAACAGGACAAACAAACACACATTTGAAAGGAATTGTGTGCAGTGATGCATTGATTATCAAACTGTGAAAACAGCAGAACTTCCTGTTCAATGGACCACGGTGTTATATCAACCATTTCAAAATGATCTCAGCATGCCAATTAACAAACAGAGCCCAGTCTCCACAGATAACACAAACACCATTTACGTTCCAATTAGAATCCACCACCCTATAATCCTTTGGGACTTGAGACTGTTGTGTGTCCCCACAGCATTAAAAAAAAAAGAGATGAAAAAGAAACAAGTGAGATTATACAGCTTTGAATGATGTTCCCCTGTTGTTAAAGTGAACATTTAAATAGAATGCTCTTAATGTTGAAAGCTCTATTCACACTAAATTGTAGGGAGAAGCGAGAGGAATGGATTTCTGCCTTCAAACCCTTATGCAAATACTAGTGTATTCTTACCACATTTTATATATTTTTGTGCATTTTACAAAAAAGCACATGAAGCAAACTACTTTTTCAGGAGCTACCTAGTTTATGAGAAACCTGACAGGCCCTTGGAAGCTTTATTTAGCCCACTGTTCTAAATATTTTAAATCAGAACTTACACCTTGTCACCTATGTAGTACTTGGTTGATTTAATCCCATCTCTAACAGATATTTGGAAAAAAATGTTCTTTTTTTTCTTTGAAAGCCAATCCATTCACAACTGCCAATAACAATAGCACCGTATCTTTTAAACAATCAGCACAGAACTTATGGATAGGGATTCAGAAAATAACACCTATGCTATGAGCTACACTTGTACTTTAAACACATTTGTCAACTCTTATTTAAAACTCTTCTGCCCATAATGGTATCAGTGCCTACTCATACAGTTGGTCAGATCTTTGCCATAGGCAATTGTGTCATGCAGCCACTAGGTTTAGATAGCTAGCTTGCACAATACTGTTATGTGCCACCTTTTCCATGCCAGCTAAGAAACACTGCCAAAAAATACCTCCTTACTTTAGATCATTTTACAGTTATGGGCCAATAAAAGAATGCCTGCAAGTGGAGAAAAGGAGAACAGAGTTCCTATTTACTTTCCTTGCCTGCCAACCAGACAGACAGTGCTGCAGGTAAGCACATAGAAAACTTGTTAAAAACTACTTGAGGTGTCAAAAAGTATGTGAAATAACGGGCAAGTATTGCCTCCAGGTACTCTGCATATGGGCAATCATATGTCAGATAATGGCACCAAGCACAAATTGAGCCACAAAGTAGTGAAGCTGACAGAGCTTATTACAAAAATTGAAAACTCACCCCAAGTTGTGAGCTACCAGAAGACAATTAGCAAAAGAATGTATGATATAAAGAAAAGAAAAAACATCCCTCTATTATCCACTCCCTTCATTTTTTTAACTCCATAAAACACCCATTGTCTTGTGGATTACACGCTATAAATATATATTGGAAAAAATTTAAACTTTTCTGGTTTGTTTTCATTAGGGCTATGTGAAGCTTCAGTCCCTGATTCAATTCAGCAGAGATTTGGCCTGATTCAGTGGCCGAATCTCTGAATCCAAATTGAATCAGGAGACCCTTTAATCTCTCCAAATGGAATCAGAACCCTTTGAATCAATTCGGAGAGATTTGGAAAGATTCAGCGATTTGGACATATACACATCTTTAAATGTTTTTTCTATATACCTCAAGGTACCAGGTGAATCGTGAATGCTGTGATGGTGGGGCAGATGGAGCATCGCCCAGGAACACGGGGACTCAGAAGTTGACCGGAAGTATTTCCAGTCCACTTCCGGGTTTGCTGCCAAGCACACGGGCCCCCACCCCACGCTCCTGTGGGACACTCCATCCACCCCACCAACGCAGCATTCACAAGCTGTGCCTGGTACCTCCAGGTATGTAGAAAAAACATTTAAAACTGTGTCTATGGCCAAATCGCTGATTCTCCAAATCAGCATTGAATCTTCAAATTCAGATTCAGATGAATTGAATCGGGGACAATGATCTGAATCAACAAATCGAATCACTGTTCCCGATTCAGGCCAAATATGAATCTGAACTGAATACAGCCCATTTCACACACCCCTAGTTTTCATGGTCCAGAATGCAGAATGTCTGTTGGAATGCAGGTCTTTCTTCAGTAGAGTACATGTTCTTGATTTAGTCAGGTATAGATATGGCTCTCATGCTTGTCACCACTGACCCAATCCACCAAACTCTTACTCAAATAAAGAATGCTCTTTTTCTTAAAATAACTATGTACATAATGACTCTTGGATTAAGTATGGGATTGGCATTGGAAAGGTGGAAATGTTTGGGCACCAGGCACGAATCTCAATCTTTCCTTGTTTTCCTCTATCATACTTAAATAAGTTAAGTAACATATGGTTCTGAGATACTAATCTGTACTCATGAAGGAGGTGTTTGAGAAGCTGGGTTTGATTTTCCTTGGGAGTTTTGTTAATATACTTTACTCTCAGAATACAAATACATCCATTCTTCCCCCCTTTGAATAAAGCCCCTCATTGAAACAGCTAATAAATAATTTTAGGGGTTAAAATTTATAACATCTGTATTTTAATGATGATATCATTATTATGAGTATGTTATTTATTGATCTCATGGCTTGTGGTTATTTAGTATAAATTCTTTTTTGAATTTAAAAAAATACATTAAAATATAATAAATAGTTAAGATCAACAGTTACAAGCAGAGTCTCAGAATGAACAAGAGATTTGAGTAGGTGCATAAAATAAATAATGTGAATAGTCCCACTGAACTAAGTTTAAGCATATACTTAAATGCACTGCTGACTCACGATTGTCATTCAACTCATTACACTATACCTTTGAGTACTATGTGATACTACAAATTGCTTAACGTAGAAAATGTATTGGATATAACATTCGGTTTGGCAACATTCTCAGATTTTCAACTTTACCAACTTTTCAGACAGAGGATTTACAAGCAATATATAATACATACACCTCTGTAGAATAGTGGTTGTATACTGCAGTGTCTGCATGTTTTGGGTTACACTGTTAGTTAAACTGTTCAACAGTATAATATATGTTCTTGATTCACTTCGTTTTTTATATAGCCCCTATGCCACTCACTGTTAATCCAATCCTCCAAACCCTTCTCAAATGAAAAATGCTCTACTTCAATGTAGCTATGTGCAGGATGACCACAGTATTGTTTCATCACGTATAAAGGTTATACAACATGGTGCTGACTGCATACCAACATTTGGCATAGATTTTCTATTAAATGTTATTGACATTTCTAAAGATACTCTAAAACTATATGCTAAGGAAAGAGCCTGGGCAGAATAGCATTTTCATAGGATTTGGGTAACTACTTTGTTATAGAAATATTGTATTTTCCTCTGTTCCACTGTTTTCTCTAGAGCAGCCATGTGCAGAAATGGAGAACACAGTAGTGAAAAAGGAATAACTATATCATCTCTTCATTAGTGCTCCTGTATCTGGAATTGTAGTGGTTGTGTTATAACTGTTTGAGGCTCCCCCTTCCATTATGCCAGTGTGCATAAGATCAATATGCTTGAACCTACAGTCCTACAGAAAAAAATCTCATTGACATTAGTCTTACATGGGACATACACAGCATTTCAAAAGAGTATCTGAAAAAATATTTGAGATTGGGTGTTGTAACTAATAAAATGTTGCTGCTGGCTTTCCCCCTTCATTTTGTACATGTGAAAACCTCCCCCAGTCCTGCTGATTTGATTGTTAGTATTTCACAATAATCTACATTCAATGTGATGAGGTTTTTCATCAGTCAGTACTCCATACCTGTGGTAACTTATTGCCATACACAGGCTCTTGAAACACTACTCTATAAAGAAACAGAAATGTAACCATATGAATGCAAAAAACTGAAAAATAAATAAAAATGCATAAGTCACATATTTCCCAAAGTCATTCATTTACAAGTTTGCTTTCAACATTTTACATGGCCTTTTGGCACAGGATGATTGAGAAGGGTCCGTGGAATGGGTAACCAATCAGTTGCCAAGGATTTTAAGTTAGGGTATTAAATGAACAAGGTTCTTGTCAAAAGAAGGATAATATGGAAGAAATAAATACATTTTAAAAATCTACTATATACTAACATATTTATATATAAATAAAGTGATCAGCTACATGCATATGTGAATATATACATATATCTGTGTGAATAGATATACATATATACAGAAAAACTACAAGTTTTGATTTATTTTAAATAATACCTCATTGTATATTTAATTAACTCTATTACAGACACAGTGATAGCACTTGTACAAACAGTGACAATTTAGACAGATCCTTTGGATGGGCAAATTAATTTTATTTTAAATATATGTGGCTGTATCCTGCTATGATTCTGCACATGTTATTATTGGCATAAAAAAAAGAGTTGTGGAAATGTTGATTGATAAAAAA